TTCAGTCATCTAATGGACCTTAACGCGAGTGCATTTTCTTCGGCTGATCCGTAACTTAATACCAAACATAAACAATAACATCACCCCAAAAACCAGCTGATTCCGACCTACTGAAGGTGAATTTTTCTACGATCAGCTGGCAATCGTAATTAATTTGCGATTGTGCAGGGCCGGCATCAAAACTGTTATAATTTTATAATTTTTTATTTTGTTTCAAAAGTCAAAAGTGTTATAACATTTTATGTTCCAAATGTCCGTAGGAATCTGTGGTATAAATATTAATTATTATAACTGGGACACCCTATATTGTGAATATATATATATATACAGAGTTGACTGAAATAAGTGGCAAGCTTTGCAATAGTGAATCGCATGGTATCTTCATCATTCGCCGGTAACATAACATTTCGAATGCTTCAGCCTTTCCTTTTCCGACGCGGCCACCGTCCATCTTTCGCACCCGTACGTACACCTTTTACTATCTTTTTTGAATTTATAAATTAATCGTTCGCGAGCATAGAAGTGACTTCTTTGCACTATCCTCTGCTTTATATCCCTACTACTCCTTCCGTCCTGACTTATCTCTCTTCCTAGATACCTAAAATCAGCCACCTCGCTTCCTGTCTTAACATTCGCTCTTTTCATACTCTTTTTTTCCTTGCATTTTTGTTTTAATTTTATTTACTTTCATGCAATACTGTTTTGTTAATACCGCTTCCATTTTATTTAAATGCATCTCTAACTCCTACTTGCTAGATGCTAATATTGCTATATCATCTAACCTCTAACCTCTTGTCCTGCATGTTTTGAAATTTCCTCTTGTAAGCCATCTATACCTGGCGCCTTATTATTCTTCAAGTTTTTTAATGCAACATCGAACTCTTCTCTAATTATTGGATAACCAAATTCATCTATCTCCACACTATCTTTTTTCTCTAATACAGTGTTTCCCAACCTTTTTGTCCACGCGAACCAAAAGAAAAGTCCGAAAAAATTTGACGAACCCCCTATGTAGTCATTAATGACAGGTAAAAGAAAGCATTAAAATCTGATAGAATATATACTTTTTCATATTGCATAATAATTGAATCGTGAAATATTTAAATAAAACATTAATAAGACTGAAATGATGTAAATGTAGTAAATTGCCTTAATTTGATATTTATTTCCAATTGTATTGTAAAAAAAAATATTACATAGAAGGGAAAACTGCTGCAATGATTTTAAATATAAAGCAGAACATGATACGAATCACATTGATAAAATGTTTTAAATATAAATAAATGTTTGTAATAAAAAGAGAATAAATAGTATTTGATTACTTGAATAAGAGGAATAAATTTTAACGTANCAAATTATTAAAGTTTTCACTGTCTAGCTTATAAGAGATAAAAGAAGATTGTAATATATATCTGTACAAAACCTTGTTTCTTCAAAAATATCCGAGAAAATTTAAATGCTCATATTCAATATATCCTTTGTATTATCTTCCCCAATGATATATTATTAAGAAAGGAGGTAAATTTTTCTTAATTATATAATCTCTACCGATGCTTGGAGTAAGATTTTTACCTTGATAAAGACACTGTTCCAAATATTTTCACAGAGAATAATAATAATAATAGAAAGACAGATACAAAAGAATTCGAGTAGAAATATTTACAAAAGGGTGCAATATAATGTTTAGTCAAATATATGTTTAAAATTAAATATAGCGGTGTTATTATCCGCCACACTACATAATTTCTTCTGTTAACTGCACAATTCAGAGAGAAAGACGGCACGTGTGAATACTTCTAAACACTTGCTTGTCTCACTGGTGCCGTGCACGGCCACGGCGCCGTGCCGTTGCAGTCCCCATGCCGTGCTGCGACGGCAGCAAACCGTGCTGTGTGAACGCTTGCATATAAACCAATGTATTACTATTATACACGGCACGGTTGCAAAAAACCGTCTGTGTGAAAGCAGGATCTATTTGCTATCAGAATATCAAATAACTCGCGCACTCATTGCTATCTTATGTCCAAATAATTACTATTTGCGATTAATTATATAATCACGTCATTACACGGTAAAGTAATGCTGATGCAGAAATGATCGTAATGAGTTTTAAGCTTAGAGGTTATTTTTGAATTAAGAAGCTAGGAACCTTGCTCATTTGCTTTAGTGAAGTGATAGGTCACGGTAATAGTTTTATTTGTATAAACTGTACTTGCTTATTCAATATCCAACATGATTTCACCATCATCATCATCATCATCATAAGATGCCGCACGACTGGTTGGACACGCACCACTACTGTTTCCTACTTTGAGCTAATCTTCGCATTTCCTTAAATCTAGAACATCGTACATCCTTAACTATTTCCGAACAGTAATCTAATCTAGGTCTACCTCTACCCCTCTTAACTCTTGTTTCTGTTTCCAGCATATCTCTAACTTAGGTAGTTTAAACAAATATAGAGTTTAACATAAAATGCATTTCATTACTTTTATGCTACAAACATCGAGAAAAACAATAATTAGAGTTTACATCAAATATGAACGTCACCTACTGAAGTTATCATGATTGTAGTAATTTATTTAAACTATATAAATAGTAGACCATAAGGCGTTATACATATAATTAGAATTGTGAATACGGTGAACGAGAATTTTTTCGCAAGTAATAATCACCAGTGGCTCTAAAATGCAAAATTCTAGTTATATAAATGTTTTTGAAGATTATTTGTTAAATCTTTACTTAGTATCAATATTCACACCTCCAAGTCATTCGACTGACATTCTCCAGAACGGAAGTTGCTATAGCTGTCGCATTTCCAAACAGAAAACCCTCCTGATCTTACAGATTCTGCAAATAATGCGAAAGCCCTACCGTGTGCACACGAACCAGTTGGTTCAAGAGTGCAACCAGGCTGATTTCCTCCTCCATTAGGTCTGTAATCAGCAGTTCCTAGACTACCTCGATAGCCCAATCTACCAGCACAAGTGTGAATTGCTTGAACGAATTGGGCATCCGATGGGTCTAATCTATTGTCCGTTTCACTACTGTGAAACAGAGGTCCCGCAGGATCCAACCCCACTATTACACCAATGCTACTATTTACAGCTGCACCGGCGCATCCAGCTATATGAGCCCCAAGACTGTGACTGTTGAAAGAAAAGTTGCATTACAAGATGTAGATGATTTTAAATATTCTTATTAATTTGTTGGACACGGAAACGTCTGGAAATGTTTGCTTACCCTACAATTGTGAATTTGTCGGCGTCCAATCCAAACTGACTTTACATATTCGCAATGAATTGTCCCAAATGTCTTCCAATATCGGGAACGTTTGCGAATGCAATTGTGTACAAGTATTTCGCGTGAACTACATTTTTACTACTTCTACTTAATCTTCCTATTTCTGCAAGGTACTTATGAAATATCCTGTATATATTTGAAAGCTTTCTAGTTTATATAAGGGGAAATTTTACAATTAGTGTACATAAATGTCCAATTGTATCTATTATTGTTGAATACTGAATAGGGCTGCCTTGTCCGTGTTGTTAAATAACATCGTAGTCACATTAAGTTTTATTCAGTTATTTAATTTTTTTTAACTCATATCACTTCGAACTACTGTAGTGTTAGTGATAACACTAGGAGTGTAAACACCAGGTTTGCACGATTTTACAACGGCAATAAAATAACTTTAAGTAATACTTACCAGGGTTATATACTGCAAAAGCAGTATTGACTAAAACGAGCAAGATTCTCATTTTGTTGGAAATTTACAAAGATGTTCAACGTTTCCAAATTGTCGTATTTATGCTTTTCCAATCTTGAAATTTATCATTTCGTATTTGGTCCAACCGATAATATTTTATCATTTTATAAGATACGAGGGCAATTTCATTTTTTACGCTATTAACAGCATCGCCGTATTTGCTGTTTAGCCTACCCTTGAACAAGTCACTGCTCAGCAGCTGTACCTAATGAAGCCTCACCCTGCTTTCACTCAGACGGTTTTCTAACGGCAACCGTGCCGTGCCGTGCCGTAATTTCATTTTGCTTTGCGTTCACACTGCACACGGTTTTTCACGGTTTAGTTTTGTTTTGATACATGACCAAAATGGACGAAAGAAAAAAACGCATGTTGTTACTAATGATATGGTATAATCGCAGAAAAACACAAAAAACAAGAAGATTTTGGATTCATCCACTACTTGAAAACAGACAATTGATGGGTGAACTTGTAACATTATTTCATGAGCTACGAGAGGATAGCTCCAAATTTTTTAATTATTTTCGAATGTCCATTAGGAGTTTCGATGAATTATGCGTAAAATTGCAAGATGATTTAAAAATTAGTAATAATATTTAATATCAAGAGGGAAATAAAAAAAAAATGAGTATCAATCAGAAAACAATCTATCAGAAATAGAAAAAGGTTTTCCTTTCTGTTATGTAACGCTTTGATACCAAAAGAAATCAAATTATTAAAGTTTTCACTGTCTAGCTTATAAGAGATAAAAGAAGATTGTAATATATATCTGTACAAAACCTTGTTTCTTCAAAAATATCCGAGAAAATTTAAATGCTCATATTCAATATATCCTTTGTATTATCTTCCCCAATGATATATTATTAAGAAAGGAGGTAAATTTTTCTTAATTATATAATCTCTACCGATGCTTGGAGTAAGATTTTTACCTTGATAAAGACACTGTTCCAAATATTTTCACAGAGAATAATAATAATAATAGAAAGACAGATACAAAAGAATTCGAGTAGAAATATTTACAAAAGGGTGCAATATAATGTTTAGTCAAATATATGTTTAAAATTAAATATAGCGGTGTTATTATCCGCCACACTACATAATTTCTTCTGTTAACTGCACAATTCAGAGAGAAAGACGGCACGTGTGAATACTTCTAAACACTTGCTTGTCTCACTGGTGCCGTGCACGGCCACGGCGCCGTGCCGTTGCAGTCCCCATGCCGTGCTGCGACGGCAGCAAACCGTGCTGTGTGAACGCTTGCATATAAACCAATGTATTACTATTATACACGGCACGGTTGCAAAAAACCGTCTGTGTGAAAGCAGGATCTATTTGCTATCAGAATATCAAATAACTCGCGCACTCATTGCTATCTTATGTCCAAATAATTACTATTTGCGATTAATTATATAATCACGTCATTACACGGTAAAGTAATGCTGATGCAGAAATGATCGTAATGAGTTTTAAGCTTAGAGGTTATTTTTGAATTAAGAAGCTAGGAACCTTGCTCATTTGCTTTAGTGAAGTGATAGGTCACGGTAATAGTTTTATTTGTATAAACTGTACTTGCTTATTCAATATCCAACATGATTTCTCCATCATCATCATCATCATAAGATACCGCACGACTGGTTGGACACGCACCACTACTGCTTCCTACTTTGAGCTAATCTTCGCATTTCCCTAAATCTAGAACAGCGTACATCCTTAACTACTTTTGAACAGTAATCTAATCTAGGTCTATCCCTACCCCTCTTAACTCTTGTTTCTGTTTCCAGCATATCTCTAACTTAGGTAGTTTATATAAATATAGAGTTTAACATAAAATGCATTTCATTACTTTTATGCTACAAACATCGAGAAAAACAATAATTAGAGTTTACATCAAATATGAACGTCACCTACTGAAGTTATCATGATTGTAGTAATTTATTTAAACTATATAAATAGTAGACCATAAGGCGTTATACATATAATTAGAATTGTGAATACGGTGAACGAGAATTTTTTCGCAAGTAATAATCACCAGTGGCTCTAAAATGCAAAATTCTAGTTATATAAATGTTTTTGAAGATTATTTGTTAAATCTTTACTTAGTATCAATATTCACACCTCCAAGTCATTCGACTGACATTCTCCAGAACGGAAGTTGCTATAGCTGTCGCATTTCCAAACAGAAAACCCTCCTGATCTTACAGATTCTGCAAATAATGCGAAAGCCCTACCGTGTGCACACGAACCAGTTGGTTCAAGAGTGCAACCAGGCTGATTTCCTCCTCCATTAGGTCTGTAATCAGCAGTTCCTAGACTACCTCGATAGCCCAATCTACCAGCACAAGTGTGAATTGCTTGAACGAATTGGGCATCCGATGGGTCTAATCTATTGTCCGTTTCACTACTGTGAAACAGAGGTCCCGCAGGATCCAACCCCACTATTACACCAATGCTACTATTTACAGCTGCACCGGCGCATCCAGCTATATGAGCCCCAAGACTGTGACTGTTGAAAGAAAAGTTGCATTTCAAGATGTAGATGATTTTAAATATTCTTATTAATTTGTTGGACACGGAAACGTCTGGAAATGTTTGCTTACCCTACAATTGTGAATTTGTCGGCGTCCAATCCAAACTGACTTTACATATTCGCAATGAATTGTCCCAAAAGTCTTCCAATATCGGGAACGTTTGCGAATGCAATTGTGTACAAAGTACGAGATATCGAACTCCAATCTACCACGAATATATTAGCATCAATAACATCCATATAGGCGGACCTAATGAGTTCGTTAAAATTACTAGAGTAACTGTTTCGCCAACCATGAATCAAGAAGATATTCTGCTTTGAAGAATCGTAATTGGATGATGATGAAAGTGCACTAGCGTCCAGCGCATGTATTTCAGGAGTTGAAGCATTGTTTTGGGTGTAAAGATAAAGTGTAATGTCGGATGTAGAGGCAAATGCTTCAACAGTAGGAACTGATGGATCGATTACTTCAACCACTCCATTTTCATCGTATACTCTTAGCATGCGATCAGAGGATACACTTGGACTTACTGAAATAATTTAGAAGCGGATTTACTTATTAGAACGTATTATAGTTTATATAAAACAAAATTTTACAAATAATTACATACATATGCATGTATTAATTAATAATTAAAAGGAAGACTCACCCCTAATTACCACAAAAAACTTTATTTGAGCGGTCACGTGTTTCCCCCACTTCGAGACAGTCTCGCGTTGATAATGCACACGTATGAAGTGGGCGAAACACGTGTCCGCTCAAATAAAGTTTTTTGTGGTAATTAGGGGTGTCTTCCTTTTAATTTTTAATTAATATGCATAGATATCTAATCTAAACTACGTAATACTGTTGGATCATGAAAACGGCAATAAAGGGTATTTCAATAATACTTACGAGGGTTAGAGGGTACAAAAGCGATGTTGGCTAAAACGAACAAAATTCTCATTTCGCCTGATTCTCTCAAAAATGTTCATAGGTTCTAAAATATCGCTTTTATACCTACCTATTTTCCTTGTTCATATTAATAAATTTCCTACTTGAGCTTAAGTACTATCAACCCATAATACCTTTGGATATTTCACTAGTTTAGAAGATAATATCAGATATCAATATTTGTAGACTCTTGTAATTGATTAGTAAATCATTACTAATCAAACATTTTCCAAAAGGCATAACAGCTTGACAACAAACGTCACGTAATGATAATAATTGTCGTTAATTGAGTATAGGACGGAAAGGTACTGGCAAGAAGGAATGCAGCGTGTGCAAACTGGAACTAAATCCACTCGAACATATTTTGGAGACATGTCGAAATGGAAGGAAAATATGATCTTAAAAGGATGGGACAAATATTATGGTGAAGAAAAATAACAGAAAAGCTTTTAAAATATTTATTTTGTAAAATTCATATGTAGTCATAGAATTAGCATGTAAAAGCACCTTATATATACGAGGGTGGATTGATAAGTTTCCGGCCTAACCAAGAGATGACGCCACTAGGCCTACCTTGAGGTGACATTCTATAGTACCATC